CCTAAATAGTATAGTAATTAGATAAATAAACAATTTATAAAGATGACATAGCTTACGGGAAAAATGGATAGAAAACTATTCACATTGGCCAATTATCTCAATGGAGTTGTAATTTATTTGATGATAGAGGTGTTAAGTTTTAAAATCCTCTTTTTTAGATTTTATTACACCATATTCATAGTGTCTATGCGTTATTGCCACTTAAGCTTCCGATCTAGAGCAACACTATAGATCCCTAAAGGCCAAATTGTAAAATAATATTTCATCTTTTCCATCACTTTTCGACGTTATCTTTTATACTACGGTTACAAGCAGTATACGTGTCTAGTGTTATTAATTGCCGTTCCTGAACGCTCAGGATTTATGATTACTTTTACACGGATTCATATTTTGCGACCGATGGTAACGTTTACCGATCTTTTCTCGATTTACCGCACACCTTAATTACGATCGCACCGCGCAGATAATCTTCAAGTTTATGCTTCAACTTACGATCTAGGAGTAAATCGTTAATATTAACATGAATCTAATCTGTCCCAAAATTTAGCACAAAAATACATTGTCAATATATTACACGTGCATTGTGTATATAATTATTGAGATATTATTGTGTTTTTCACGGAATGACGCAATGAATAATTTTTTGCTAACATTGCCTTAAACGGTTTCTCGTCGTACGTTAAAAAAATACGTATCGTCATAGTATTTAATTTATTAATATAAAATATAATGTAAATATAATAACGATATAAGCTACTATAAGACGGAAACAGCTTTTTTCTGTCATCGTATAATGAAAACCGTCTTAAAAAGCCATGTGGACAATCGTATAGCAAAACTGAAAATATTATTGACATAAATTATGCATTTACACAATACGTCAATACAGTTTATTTTAAAATGACTGTATTCAAATCTTCTTAATTAAGCATTCATTTTAAAAATGTCAACCAAGTATTTAAAATATTTTCGTCAGTAATTTAACATAAATAATAATTATAATAATTAATAATAGTATTTTCAATTTTGAAATATCTCGAATAATTAAAAATAAAAACAATTTCTCTAAAAAGACCTTAAAGATTGTTCTATCTACCTCGATTTTTGAATTACCTTTATGTTTGATAATATTCATTGTTATAAATTTAATAATAAGATTCGTTGAATGACATAATCCAAACGTTTCACCACAATATGGTCAAAATGATATGGTCTTTGTCTTATAGAATTACTATGATAGTGATTTAGACCTCGTGATATCCCTGTGGTTTTCAAATTTAGACAATTACCTATGAATAATAATTTAAAATGCAATTGTTGATAGTAAAAGAATATTCTATAAACAATTTTCATCGTGCTCAGAAATTATACGCTGTGTTTTAAATTATCTATATGATAATATAAAGTTAGGAACTCCATAACTCCGCACGTAACGTGGCCATTTTATAAAATATCACCTTTGTTACGGACATACACGCAACACCTTAAACCCGCATACATTTCTTTTTCAACACCGCAACTCCGCATGCGAGTTGACGTATAATAAAAATAATATAAAATAGGTACCGTGATTTTCTTCACACGACCGGTGAGTATATTTTAAGACCAACATGGCTTGCACATTATTGGCTAATTTGAGTAGTAACTTAAATAGGACGATCAGTAATATACTCGAAACTAGAGGTCAGAATAATATTCTCTTTAAATAGTCAATATAAGATGCTAATATTCCCTAAAAAAGTTAAAAATATTCTTCTAATATTCTTTAAACATCATAATGAAATATGCTAAAAATATACTTTTATACTAATATATTCAAGAAAAATATATCTTTATAGAAAAGAAAAATGGCAAAAGAATAAAGTACCTACGTAATACAAAAAACTGATACAAATAAGTATAAAATAAAAAATAATACAGCTTAAAAAAAACTTAGGTAACATATTATTTATTAAACTAAATTAAATTTATAACGTATTTTTAATTAAGACCAATTTTGAAAACAATTGACAACATTATGCTATTCCCTATGTTCTGGTATCATATTGGTACGTTAAAATATTTTTATATGTACTTACTCAAAGAATGTTTGACGTTAAAAGAAGACCTGTGTCTTCTTTTAACGTCAAACATTCTATGCTGCAAATTCGTTGTCATAGCCATTGAAAAAAATATCTACAATTTATACTTTATTATTTTTATTTAAAACTTTTAGTAGGTACGTTTTTAAAAATTTAATATCACATTTAATAATATTTAATTTAATATATTTTATATTATACATATTATGTATTATGGTAATTACGTGGTGTAGTAATCGTTAACAATATAATTATATGAAATATGTGAACATAATAAATTACTAATATTATCGTTATTTACGAGTTATAGTAATTATAGTTATAGTTATAAAGTTATAGTAGTTGATAAGATGGTTTTATCAGGACGGCATAAGAAAATTATATTTTGAAAATTATATTTTGCTGATAGAATTTAGCGTTTTTTTTTTTGTAAAATATACAAATTGTCCATAATTATTAGTAATTAAATGTTTTTTTTTTTTTTCAAACAAGTCTTATGATAGAAACATTAACAACTTAGTTGGTTATAAATCGGAAGCATTGTAAAAAAAGAAACAACATGAAAATTCCTCAACTTCCGAGTCAATGATTAATTATCGTACTACGAAAATCGGTGATTTATTCTATACTTTCTTATTCGTAAATCAAAACTATAATTTATTAACAGCAGTCAGATAAAGACGTACTGGCACTAACTAATAAAAATTATATACATTGTACAAGTCTTTTACCTAATATCTCATTATTATTAATACCTCACCACACATTATAGAGACGTAACTGTTATTCCGCCTTTATAATTTTGTCATTCGACTATTTCCATTATATCGCGTAGTCGCTAAACGCCGTACCACGAAACTGTGTACATTCTTGCTTCTATCAATGAAAAACGTTAGTTTCAGCGTACATATGCTTTTTATAATATACATAATATAATTTATAGTATGATGCACTAATGTCAAGTGTCCACGAAGATTCTCCGAGTTCCAAAGCCGGATTAACACTCAACACTTAACACTGCATTAGCCTTCACGCCATTTTCTTACTCGAGTTAAACTCCACTCCTCGTACATAAAAAAAAATTCTAGGTGTAAGAATATGATTTAAAAATAAATAGTAATCGTGTTCCGTGTCCCAGTTATGCTAATTCAAATTATTCAGTTTCGATTTTTTAACAAAAAATCAACACATTATTCAAAAATAGAATACAAATAATTATAAGCTTGTTATACGTTGGACGACAACACTAAAATAATTCTTACAATGTGCATAACTATTGTATTTTTAGTTTTCAGGTGTTAATTTTAAGTACTTGTTATTGCTTTTTTAAATGAAAACTTGTTACATTTATATGTTGACATAAACGCTTCTGGCAATATAACTGCAATACCCAGAGCTATTTTCAATTTATTATAAGTATATGATAATAATGTAATTTATAAGCTTAAATGCGTGCTTGAAAATAGCCAATGCAAATAAATTTGCATATTTGGAACTGGAAAACAGTAAAAAAAAATATTGAGTTTACCTATTTTAGACTTATGAAATGAATAAACATAGTGTAAGGTTACTCCGGTGCTTTTGGCAAACTCACAAAAAACAAATTAATTGGTTATGTTGCTATTATTCTGGAAACGGAGTTTATAAATTTCCCTTGAAAAAATATCTATTTAAATTTAAAAATTTATATTTTATAATTACATTTATTTTTAAAATTATAATACAATAAAAAAATATAATGTTTTTTGAGTGTGGGAAAAATGCCATTGTTTTGAATAGCGATGATGTGGCTCTGTATAGCAGATGTTTTTTTTGATACATATACAATGTCTATATATATATATATAAATAAATTTCATTAAAGGAAAAAGCTGAGTAACATATATTTTTTTAAAAATATAGTTTAATTCATATTTACGACTGTCATTACTTCTATCATAAATTGTTCATTATTTTCATAAATAAGTTTACTATCTATTTACAGCCACAATTATTATTATTATTAGTATAATATACAATAAAATAATCAAAATACGCACTTAGCTAAGTCGCGTATTATATGGTACGATTTGGAGAAAAAATTTCTTTGTTTTAATAAGAATCAATAGAAAAATAATTCCCTGAGCTTCATTAGTTTCCTCAAATTTTTAATAAATTAACAAGTATAATATATTTTAATAATTTTTACTTGATATACGAGTATTTTTAATGGCATCATTTAGCAATAGAAATGTAAATACTTTTGTTTTCTTAGTTGCGTATAATGTATTAATATTTGATTAGTATTAAATTAATTATTATGTATATTCGTATAGTTTCACAACATTTAACCTTACAATTTTAATTCTATAAAAACTAACAATATACAAATAAATAAATCATAAATTTTAAATGATTATTAATTTATAATTAAATTACTTGTAAATATTTTAACTTCAAGTATTTCAAGTGTTTTCTTAATTTATATACAAACCTACGTGCATTCACACTGCGTTCATGATTTTATTCTGTAAACTTCACTAAATAAAAGAGAAACATAAATGCATTATAATTTAAATGTACACTTGTAAAATATTACAGTACACAAAATACATAATTTTGACATCAATTATAAGAATTCGAAAATATACCTATTTCTAAGAATCAAATTGATATATATTATTTGATATAGATATAAGATGTCGGTTGCTATGTGACACACTTTTAAGCACTGAAAAGTAACAAAATAAATGAACAGTTAAAAAAAATATTTCTAAAATACCGTGATCAAATAAAGTTGGTATGATAAAACTAAATTGCCCAAGGATTTGATCGCTTCTACCTGTAAATATGCCACTGTCAAAATGCGAATAATGATAAAATATTGTTATTCATTTTAAAATGGGTTTTACTGAATACGTAATAAGAAAGCGAACAACATTTTGGAGTAGAAAAATTGTATATTTCGAATGTATATAAATTCCGCTTATTGGTTTAGTGTACAAAATTAATCAAACATGGTGCGTGGTTCACTCATTACTCATACAATGTATTTAATATTATGCGTAATTAACGTGTTATCATATTATGCTGCTATATGTCTTGATTGCCACGAAATACCTTCTTTGGTGAACAGCAATCTGTCACCGATTTTCTGGCCAATTGCTTCGTAAAATTCAATAACGTTTGGCACGAGTTTGTAAGCAACGCTGAAACCAAAACAAAAGTATACAAATTATAGCGTTTATCAATATTTGTATTTGATTTAAATAAAAATAAAAATAAAATCACTCAACAATTATTTTTTTATTCTTTATTATAATCATACTCATTATACTTTCAATAAGTTTAAGAACATTTTCTATGCAATTTATATTTATAATTGTTCATAATACGTTTTAATATAACATAATATGTCAACAATGTATTATAGTCGTCTGTATAATGTAATAATTTTAAATTCTAGGAAGAATGATCGAACGAAAACTGTTGCTTAACATTATACGTATTGAATAAACCATAGTCAGTATTTATACAATGAAACGTATAAATCACCATTTTTATGATCTCAGTCATTGATTTATACGATGAATATCAATATTTTCGCGCAAAACGTGTACGACTTTCTCGACATACACGCGTACACGGGTAAGAATAAAAATAAAACCTTATAGGCCGTTAACACTCGAGTCGGAATTATTGCTTAGTTATGGTCGACGTTTTACGATACGAAATTCCAGAGCCGTCAAATGACAAAACAATCGATTTCTATACATGTATATTTTGTTTAAGAGGGGAGGATATTGTTTAGACGTCGTCAACAATTTACGAGCGACTAGCCCTTTCGTTTTAACGTCGTCTCGACCCGATTTTATTAAATGCTACTCGTGAGTACAAGTACACTTTAATTAAATCAATAGGTGGTTTCCTATTAAGTTCCATCTAAAAATTATTTTAAAATCCTTGACTTTATTTTGTCGGCAATTGATCCTTAAAAAAAAAAAAATATATACATAGTAAGCACAATGTTAACACATCAACCGTGACGCAATGTGTTTTTCATTTTTCTATATATAAATATAACGTAAACAATTATAAACCATATCTATACAAAAATAAAAACAACATTAATGTAATGATTGACATTCTCTAATTATATGTAATTGAAAATTCTTTATGTGTTAAATATTTTACTGATGACTATCAGTATTCTTGAATCTGCAGCTGCCATTGTGAGACTCCTTAACATTAAAATAAATTCGGTAGTAGCTTTAACTTTGAATAACATTAAGTATAACAATCTAAGAAAAAAATTATCTGAATGGTTAAAAGCTTATGTTTTCTATTTACTTAAGTTAAGGTAAATTTAATGGATTAATACGGCTCACATGTTACTTACATGCATATAATAACTAATACTGTTATGCTTCAACTAAATATTACCAATAGTTTTGAAACTTCCGATTACACAGTGAACCAGTGCATTTTTTAACTAGTTGACTAGACGACACAAATGTTGCCCAGTGATTATACTCTGTCGACAATATTTTGAAAGATTGGGCGAAATAATGTGAAACAAACGTGTAATTCTATAATCGTACAATGGTATTACATTGACTATTTTGAGAAAAACATTTTTTGTCGCCCAGTGAAAATTCCTTATAAAATGCACTGCAGTGAACTGTTCAACATTTAATAATTTTTAAATATAATTTTACATTCTATATAATTATTTGATCCATAGTTCCATGTACACTTATTAGTAGTGACAAATAGTGGGTAATTTTTTGATATATACATACCTCAAAGTCAATTACTATTGGAATATTTAACATTATGAAATTAACCTTTTTTTGTGTAAACTGTATGCTAAAAACAAATCCGTAAAAATTCACTTTATGGTTAATTCTAAAATGTACATTGCATTTTTTGACTTTTTTCTTTCGATAAATATAATAAATATATTATAATAAAAAAAACTCGATAGTGCACAATTTTAATAAAACATTTTTTAAATTAAACTTGTTTCTTCTAAAACAATTATCTTAAAAATGGAGATGTACGCATTTCTACCCTTTCATTCGATTCCTCCGGTATAACGTTATAAAAAAAACCTATCTGCTAACATTTTTGAGAAAATCAATTATTATTAAAAAATGTTTTTCCTGTATCCACAAAATAAACTCAAGTATAGGTATGATAAATATAATTGATATAAATGGCTACGACACAGTATTAACAATTAATTTAATGGAAAGAAAATCATATACATGATGATTATGATTTTTATCAATTCAACTGGGATTTATGTATTGATAACGGCAAATAAAATTGATCAAAATATCACTGTCGGTAGCAGGGGTGGACTGGTTAAGGAGGTAATGGGACGATCACCTCCTGGGCCCTCAATAGGGGAATAGTAAGTTCCTATACAAGAATATCAGGTAAACAATTACATACGGTAGTTCCTAACTAGTGGGATACCTACTGAGACACAATGACTTCATCACCAACATTTTTGAAGGAAAAATAGCAGGCAAACGATCACGAGGACGTCCAAAAAAATCTTACTTTGAAGACCTGAACCATCTCATGGGTTGCTCCTCCTACCAACAACCGAAGAAAATGGCATGGGACAGACAAGAATGGTTACACCGACAAGGCGCTGCCTTTAGAAGCTGATGATGAGTTCCTATATGGACATATGTAAGTTCCTACACGATTAAAACCAGGTACGTATATTAGTTCCTGCACGGCGGAAAAAATTAAATATTTGTATAAAAATCTTCAAAAAAAACTTTAAAACATTCAAATACTATATTAGAGTATCTGAAAAACGTATACGAAATAACGGAAAAATACAACAAGCTACAGGCTGATAATAGTATCCCGACTCGACATAGGAAAGATAAAATATATTATTATTACGATTTTTCATTACGGATAAAATTATACAGAACTTGATTTTGGTTTGATAATCTTATAATTTGTTATAACCATACACCGTAAAATGTACATCTATCTTAAAAGTATTGTTAGTATTGTTCGAATCATCTGTGTGTCCGTACATATCCGTATATATCAGTCACAATGAGCGAGAATCATTCATGTAGAGTGAAAAAGACAAACAACTGCTAGTTTTAAATGATTTCAAATTTTTTAAACATCATACATCTAAAAAAAATGAAAATACGTGGCATTGTGTTATATTATTTTTTTTACCTAGTTTTTACGGTGTAGGAACTTACATATGTATCTTTTTCTATCGTGTAGGAATTAACGTACGTATTTTTTGTACCTACTACTCTCGTGTAGGAACTTACATTCGCCCCTCAATAGTGCCATATCAATTACCAGTACACAAAATGTAATATTAAAATATAATGGTAAAACACCAATGACTTGCTATTAAAACATCTGAATTCGGATAAATTGAACGCAATCAACTGAAAATATTTATTAATTAAAATATAACGTAGATTCAGTTGACCTCCTCCCCCGGGTCCTTCGATACCCAGTCCACTCCTGATCGGCAGTCTATATTTCAACGTCACTCATAGTGCTTGCGCACGGATTAGTTCGGAATAATTATTCAAATGTTTTTTCTTAATCTAAAAAATAAGAATAAAAAACTCACACGTGGTCGGGCTTAGGCAACTGGACGTTGTTCTTGATCACTTTGTCAAACAGCTGATCGTGATCGCGTTTCAATTGCTCCCACACCACCTCCTTTCCCTGTTCACAGATTTGCGCACGGATCTTGCAGAACAGCGGCTCGATGTCATATAGCTCCTTCATGTTGTCCGTATTCAGCTTGCTCACAGTGCCCTCGATACGTACTTGCCTGGTCTGGGGCAAGTTATCGTCCGTTTTGTTCAGCCACAGGAACACCATCGAAGCCTGAGGATTTCCCGCCTACGTCCACGTCATGAAAACAAATGCACAAAAATAACGGAACGATCAAAACGATCGGCAGACAATCATTCAACCAAAATAATAACCAAACGGTATTGTACTCAATAACGTAATGTTTTCGCTTCGATTGCAACCGTAGTTCGGGTAACCCCATGCAGATAATCTGTTTTACGTTTAAAACTTCGCCTAACATACGCGTAAACGGGAAAACAGCGAACAATCATTTTCGATGCAATTCTAGACGTTTGAACGTTGTAAGAACACATATTATACTTACATGATTATCAAACAAGATCTACATTAATATTAAAGTGCAACCGTTTCTTTTTTTTTTTTTGTAAATTATACCGTTCAGTGATTGTTCTTTATTTTATTTTATTTTATGCACTCGGAGCAAGTTCACGAATCACCTTAATACGTTTATTTCGAATTATAAAAAGGCTTTTTTATTTACTATAAATTTCATGTACTAATTTTTTCAATTCGTTGCTATATTTTACGTGATGTATTTTCTAAAATTATCACTAAAATAATTAGTTGAAACTCAATACTTTAATCACGTAATACGAATGAAAATATTAATTAATAATCATTGATTTTTCACATAACAATTAAAACGTCACTCTAGCATCTTTATTTTTTGCAAGCCTATATAGTTATCAATCATTAACGCATTCAAGAACTATGAGATTGTAAACCCGTTTCTCGAGTTTCATTTGTAGTTTTTCATTGCCTTTAGATTAAACGAAACTACAAAAAAATAAAATATAAGGTCCAGTGTTAATATTACCAAATCGTTTGATTTTCTACTTCTTCCATCGGTCATCATCACAAACCCGTCTTCGTCCAAACGTCGTAGTATTAAGCTACGGCAAGACACTTTTCCGGTTCTGGATACACGAATAAAATTAATTATTTATGCATACAGTGCGCGCACAATAATTGTGCAACAGTTACATTATGTTAATATTTTCCCAATCCCTAAGTCAAAGCGTTAAGAATATTTAAAAATTATGTCATTACTTCGAAACGGTTGCCAAGCTGAACGCTTTGGCAGAAGTCATGGATTCGTTTGCTATCATGTGCTCGTTGTACCATTTACTGAAAATTTCCATTGGGTTTTTTGAATTTGTATTTATTTTGTGTAGACCACTATCTTCGTACGGCGGTTCATTCTGTAAAAATACAACATCACACTAACCATTCTAACACGTTAAGTGTACAATTCTTATTCATAGCGCACGCGTAGCAATAATAATGTGGATTACACAGAATCTAAAATGAAAACAATTATTCAAACACTCCAATATCTATGAAATATTCGAATAATACATACAATAGATATACATATTAATTTGTATTTTTGTGTGCACAATAACTTCCAGCTATGAATTAAATTTGATAAAATTACATTTTGCATATCATTTTTATTAGCCAATAGTGATTTTTTTATCAATACCATAACCATACGTATTATACATTCAATTTTACTGCGAGTATACGAACAACAATCGTTGCGTCACTAGTATAAATATCACTAAACATTGCTAGAAACGCAACGCATATATGTTTTATTGTATACAATAATGTATCTGTGGACTGTAATATAAATACTATCGTTCGTAGGTAATCTTTATATTGTCACTGACCATCCATTTAAATGCACTATGATATATGATGTGTACACGCAATTGTCAGAGAAAAACAGATTATTATTGATGAAGGTGAAAATAGTACTGATTACCAACAAGATCCATATTTAGTAAAATACATTCATTAGAAGTCATGACACTGAGTTTATACGACTCATAACACAATGATTTATTCATTTAATTAATGGTTTACATAGAACATCGTGAACATCGTGATTCGAAATTCAAAACGAATTATTTGTACCGTTCGTAAATTATCCGTATATCCGTGTAGGAAATTTTTTTATTATAATTCATATTTTTCACATTGACGTAACCTTAAGATTATTTATTTTTTCTATACAGCTTCAAAATTTAAATAATATAATTTGAAAATATCAAGTATGTGTAAAGTATATTGTTGTTTTTCGGTAAAAAAAAAAAAAAATGATAAATTATTTTCCTTTTTAATTACCTACACAAAAATACATTTACCTGTGTAGTTAAATCGTCAGTTGTTACTTAAAAAAAATATCAACCTTAATAACAAATGTAAAATTCTTTACTAATGATATGTGTGTGTACTGATCATTTATAATCGACATCCTAAAAATATTTGATAAAAGTTAAACATAATAAAACACTTGAAACTAATTTTAGGTCGAATGTATAGAAACATCGAATGACCTCGAAAAGTTATATACGTCCAATAATATAAAACTGAAAACAATAGTAAATAAAAACTACCGTTTCATTATCATTTGTAACACATTTACCTCTAACAAAACTACTGTCTTACACAAAAAAATCTAATTTTAATGAATTCTCAAACTACATTATTAATTTAATCGATGCAAAAAATATTTCAGATAGTATTTCAAGCATAATAAATAATTAATAATTTAAACACCTCACGTATTTTGAAAAATATCTCATTACTTGTAATTAAAATGTAGATAACAATTATTAAAATATTATACTAAACTAGATATAATTTACAAAAAACATTCTGCAGTAAAATACGAGTATGAAACTAAAAGAAACGTATATCATTACAGAAAAAGTGTACAATTCAATAATTAACGAATAAATAATGCTGTTTCTAAATGTAGTTTAGAAAAAAGGTATAATCAAACGATTATTTTAACTTATACGACAAAAACTTTAAAAAAACACAACACCGAATAAACAAATTATTGATTAAACGATTAAAAAAAAATACTTCGCATAAAAAGCAATGAGGAACACGTGGTCAGTTTACAACCTAGTTGATCTATCGCATTACAACTAAAGCGACCACAGAGCGGAATACTTTGAAACTTTGTTTTTTTTCTTTTTCGTCGATCAGTAGTACCGTTCGACGAAGTATACGTACAATAATGAGTACGACGTGCGCGATACATGTTTTTATTTAAAGACGGTCTCGTGTGTTCGTTTTAATTTGCCAAACGAACAGATTTGCCCGAATCAGTGGCGCACACTCATTCTTACCGACATGGGTTGAGCATATTGTATTAATACCGACCACCCACCCATTACCCAAAGCAACTCCAATAAAAGTAATTTTGGTGCTCAAGGTAGTGGAACTCATCACTTAAAGCATGAGCCCTAGGTCCAATCACGTTTCACGTGTTCGGAATTTAAATAACATTTAGAAAATTGTAAATATTTTAAACCACCTAATTTTTTCCGGGGGGGGGGGGGGGGGGGGGGGGGGGGGTCGAATGATCCACTTGACCCGTATGGTGTGCGCCCGAACGTATACAAATAATTCCGATACAGACTTTGATTTCCGCGGTGTACGGTAAACGTGCACAGGCGAGGAACTAGGGAATGAAAGACGGGGATTCATTCCCCGGCGTAAAATTTTAGAGGGTGTAATTTTTGTAATTATTAACAACTAATTTGATATTTTTAACTTTGTTAAACACTGTTAATAGGATAAAACCGAATGAGTACGGTTGTATATTGATTATTAGAAAAACAATTCTCGAGAAGAGTATTTGTTTATATGGGTCTACGCGATAGGGCGTAATCTTAACATAATTTTCTCCGGGCGTAAAAATTCCTAGTTGCACCTCTGGGCGCGCAACGCAGCATACATACACTGCGTCCCGGATACAGTCGCGATTCGCGTTTGGGAAATATTTACCGATCGCTGTGCACCGTCGAACCGTCTGACGTCAGCCGGTTGAACGGTGCCGCCGTCCGTGCACGGGTCGCAAAAGAACTTTAACGCGACGCTCTTCGAACTCAAACACTTCAACTCCTCCGCGGACAGGTTGGAACACGTCCGGTGGACGCGCCCCGAGCAGCCGTCGCATTTCACCGGGCAGTCGACGTAAGTGAACCGGTGTTTGCAGACGGCGCAAGCTGATGTCGGAGCCATTTTTATTGCTAACCGACACGGCGCTGTGTTTGCGCGCCGATATCGAACCGAAAACGATTACCCGGGATTACTGCCTACGTTTATGACGCCCGAAAACCGTACGACCTGCCTGTTCGGATGCCACCTAGGCACTAGGTGCGCTCTGCGAATAAACGCGATTCGTCCCGTGCGGTAAGGGGCGAAAACGTATACCCTTACATCGGATATCGTTGCATTACGCAACAAAACGGGGTTTTTTTTTTTTAAGCATTCGTCCGGTGCAGATATCAGATATCTATTTTCGGTGTATATATATATATATATGCGTGTGTGTGCGTGAGCGCGTATTGGTTGCGCTATAACGAAATCTCAGTCGAGGAACGATCTATGTTTAGACGGATGCGTTTCGCATTAAATATTATCCACAAAAGCAAACGTAAAATAATTGGAAATAAATAAATAGTCCGAGCTGCACAGTTTTTAAACGCTTCGATAAGTTGTCATGGAAGGGTCGAAGTGATATGGGCGAAAAATCGTATGTGCATATGTAATTACGTGTTTGATACTGAGGTACGATCATAAATCACCAGCATACCAAATATGAATATCACGAAAAATCGAAGGTCGGTGCACAATGTACTGGAACATATTGAATATCACGTGTTATATAATTTTAACGAAAATATATTACGCACAGAAAAATCGAATTCGCTTACGTTGAAATCGGTAAATCAATTTCTGAAATAAAAAACTAAATAAACCATATCGTTAAAATTCGTATAGAACCAAATAGTTATACAATATTTGAAATGCCAACCGACGAATAAAATAAAAAGTGAATTTCATTAGAAAATCAAAATTTTTTTTGGTCGCCGAGTAAAATATCAATGAAATAATTATTAAGCAACGGAATACACCACATATGTAAATTTGCTATAAAAAAAAAAAAAAATAAAAAAATACGACCTTCACTTTAAGTATAATTGTTATGCATGTACAGAAATATATAAAAGGAATATTACCTTATAATAGTATACACTGTGTGCAGAATGTAGTTTTTCGGAAGATAAGCTTCAACAGAAATATAGTAACAACTGATATATAATAAAATAGTACTAACATATTTTTCAACGCAATGTTACATTTAATTTAATTCAATGATTTTTGAAGAATTATGTTGTAAATAACTATAAGCTCATAATTCCAAAAAATGTAATATAAAAAAACTATCTGTTTCAATATTAAATAAATATTTAATCCATTCGTTTATTTTTTCGTTATTATAATCACAATAAAATTATTTATATATTTTTTATAATATTATAATTTAATTAAAAATTTAATTTTCAAATGTTAATGTTAAAACACAAAATTAATTTTTCATCAAAATAAGTAATTTATTAATTATCATTAATCACTGTTATGGCCATATTTTAATTAATATTTTGTTTACTTTTGAAAAAAGGCAATCCAGCCACGTTTTTCAGTTTTAGTTGATATTTGAAATTATATTTTATTTTAAATTTTGCTGTTTTAAAATTAATAATTACACATTTTATGCAACAAAATAACTAGTTAAACACTATACTTTATATGGCTTTATTTTACGCCAAGAAATTGTTTAGTTTATTTTAAAAATCATATCACATAATCTATATACCATCAATAAATATATTTGTTTATAAAATGTCAACTTACTATTATTTTTTTTAATTACAACAAAATAAACAATATCGATCGATATTTAGAAAGTCAAATTTTCAAAATGCTCTTTTGATATTTTAGTTGTTTTATAAGAGTCTCTTAAACTTCCTAGAAATATATTCAAAATATGACCTGTATTATGTACCGGTAGGTGAAATTTTTAATCAAATGATAATTTTTGAACAGTAACAAATTGTTCACGAGTCACAGTTCTATACAGTACGAGTATAACCAACTTATGTAAAACCAACTTAAAATATCAATAAGAAAAATATTGAGCTTAAATACCTAATATATATCTGTAGAAATAATATAAAGTCGTTATATGAGACTTACAGTTTAAACTCACTACCCCAAAAGTTTGATTATGGAAAAAAATATCATAGTTAAATACATTCATTACCAGACTTTAATATACGTATTACTAAATTATATAGGTATAATTTTTTGTATAAAGTAAATACATAAAAATACATATCTACATACATATATCATAAAAATCTCAAACGGGTTTTAAACAAAAAAGACTACCTGACTCATGTTTTGAATTCATTTTTAATGATTTAAATTTTTTATTTTTTATTTTACGAAGTTATTTTATTTTTAAAATAGATAACTATCAACAAAAAGTAGCAGTTATTTTTTACTTTATTTTACGACAAACACTTTATATGTTCAACAATGTCTCTTTCCCGGAGCGCCAAAAAACATAACGCTCAGTCTGTCAACCGTGTTAATCGACAGCCAACAGAAATAATCATGTTACATCTAACCGCTATAACATATGCATAATTGTTACAGTTATTCGTATTGAACAAATTATTTATCATGATTGCTCGTAACCTGATTGTTGGAACAATTTATATACTTTTTAATTTCATTGTTGGTGACGGTAATTAATATACAATATTTCTACAAACTGTACGTAAGCATATTATAATACATTTTGTTACAGTACGTTGTACAACACTTAAACAATTTGAAATCTCACTTTGGCCTGTCGTAACGTGGACAAACTTCGAATGTTTAACGTCGCATATGACGTGATCAAACGGCATACGAGAGAAGGCGATGATTTTGCCAATAACTAAAACATAACAAAAATAAAAATAACAAATTAAATTAAAAATCCTTAGAAAATATATGGTTATTACACGTCGATGGCAAACCGACGAAACATAATAATATATTATGCTAATTATAATCTTCGTGTCACCTGCAGAACTTACCATCGTGGAAAGTTTCATTTTGCCTATAGAGCCAAAATGGTTTTAGAAAACGCAAATGAGTTCGGAAGCGACGTGATTGCTGAACGATTTATACTATAATGGTACGCTTTTATCGTAACAACAACTGCGAGTATTCGAACGTCGGTATGCGTTTTATAACTGTAATGAGCACCTAGTAAAATATCAAATCAATATACTTAAGTTTCTAATTGAATTAGAAAATAAAGTCCAGTATTCTGAATGATAATAACCGAGAGACACGGTACCTATATTGTATTCCTGTACACTTACTATTGCTGTTATTGTTTGGCTTCTCCAGTAAAAAATATGTGTTATTATGTAATTTTTCCATGTCACATTAGAAGGCTAGTTTTTTTCATTTAAATAATCGATAATCGTCAATGTCGAAATCGGTATGTCATGCATTAAGATCAACCGTAAACATGATACTTGTATCCGCGTATTATTTTCACTTGACAAATTTGATGAAACAACATGGTAAACATATAAAACTCGCAACTAACATTAGTAAAACTCGTAACTCATTTGCACGGACGATTCTCATTTACAATATTCGAATAATACATAAAGAGACCATCATTAATATTATATATTGACCAAACTACAGAATTATAATTTATTAATGAATAACATACCGGCCTGATGGACTGTGCCAGATTGAGAGTACAGCTGTAAAATGTTTTTATTTTTATAAAACTGTTGACAAATTATACTCAAGCAGCATTTAAAATGAAAAATATTTATGTTTTGGCGTTTATTCATCTCGTTGATTGCCGAAAAAACGTGTGAACTACATTATAAATATTTAATAATTAATATCATGTTTATGTTCAAGTATTTTATTCTTTTGTTTATACGAGTATTAAAAAATCCGTATCGAGCTTTGATTCATTTAACAGAATTGTAATATTTTATTGATAAAAAGGTTACTATACGTTTAACTAACTTTTTATCCATAATTTTTTACTACACATATGCATGTACACGTCTTCAAATTAAATTTTTCAATTATGTAACTCAAGAAAAATTTTGAAAAATGTAAAGTACAAATAAATTGATAAAATAATTTGAAATTTAAACAGAAATAAAACAAATCAGTGTTGTACAAAAGTCGTAAAAATAATGGATGCATTTTTATCTAATTCAGAATAAACGAGTATAACCTAAAAGAAATACAAGTAAAAATAGCACATTAATATTTAATTAATGCAATTATTCAAAAATATGTTTAGCGTTATAACAAACGCAATGTTTTTGTACTTACTAAATGTTTTATTTGTATTAAATATAATATTTAACATTTTACTTACAATTATTTTATATTTATTTGTTCAGTTATCATTAAATTATTCGTGTAGTAAATTATTAAACCATTATAGATGTAAGAATACAGGAATTTAACGAAAAAATTGCAAAAAGACTGAAAGAGTCATTAGAAAATAATTAAATAAGTTAATAATCTAGTTATATAAAGGTCATTGGCAAAATTGTCATATGTTTTACTTTTCATTTGAATTCACAAAATGTATTTACAGTGATGAAGTAAAACTAAGCATTACTTTATCATTCAATATCTTTAGTATTTTCTCAAATGTAATCGAAGGTCTCATTATACGTGAATGTTTCCCGTCAATTTTTTTTCCTGTTGTTTTAATTATTATTTATTTAAAAATTTTTATGATAAAAAAATTCTCCATAATAATCATCTATCGAGTAATACATAACTCACGTAGGTGTGTACTTTACGTAGAGATATTTTTACTACATTTGTACTACTATTAAAATATGAATAAATTGTTTTAATTTTTACCATACCTTCGAAGAATTAAATTTTCAATCGAATAACAAAAACCTATATTTCATATAAAAGCAACTAAGTAGTAAAATACCATCTACGTTCGACTTTCCACTCCGTAAACAAGTATTTCAACTACGTAAATAATATGATATAACTGAAGTTCAGTTACTGAACAGATACGAGTATGACTAAATACATACATATACATCAACGCTATGTAATATGGCATATTCCTGTTTGATAGTGCGAGTTCAACTATAATAATTTCTATCGATCGGGTAAAAAAATGTTTGTGTGCGTATTATATATAATACGATTTCTCTGAATGATCATTTATCTTGAGTCAAATCAATTCCGATCAAATTTGGATACATATAAACTATTCCGTTATCACACATCTAATTCAATTTTTCGAATATGTTTTTCATACGTTGAATAATATCGTGTTTTTTAAATGTGCCATTGTATTTTTATATTTTTGTCGCTAGAGGAATGTATTTATTATTTCACGTTCCGAAATCAGTATATAAATTGAAATAATAATGAATTGACCGTGATCAAATAGGAATACATTGAAATCGGAAATGTAGTCAAAAATATAGTCTAGTGGCATGCGCAGGGCCTTTTTCTTGAGCAAGAGAAACCGTGGCACGTGCCACGTTATATAACCGAATAGCCGAATTAGGCGAGGGTGTTTCGAAGTGCGCCGTAGCTTATATTCGTACGGGTGTGTATAACGGTGTAAAATCAATGACCCGACATATCGAGTATATAACGATTACGAATAGTGTATGGATAAGAAAATTCTGTGCAGGTTGTTTGGACATATGAAATTATTTCGCCTAAAAATGCCCCGAGCCTCGAATTATATATTATGGGACCTCAAAAGGTCAAATGCTCAAAAACGTTAGGGACCTCAAGTTTTTGATTCGTACACGGACCTCGAGCTATAATAAAATTCTACAACGGTCATCAAAATTCATTGAACCAGCACTGAATATTAGTAGACAGGGACGGACTAGGTTAATATTTCAGAACGAAAATTTTTTTTGCCTGGCCAAAAATTAACAGAGAACCAACGTTTTGGTCATAAGTAGGGCCCGTAACTTAACACGCTTGAAAAAGTATAAATATGCTCTAAAAATATGCACTTATATTTTATTTTTGTACACAGCATTTTCATTTGCACAATTGCACAAATATTTTATAAAATTATAAATATAGACAAAGTAAAGTAATAAAAATAATTCTGGTTTTTAATTTTTAATCGTAATTTAAAATAATAATAATAATAAAATATTATTAAAAATGTTTCTTGAATAAAAAAAATGCACTTGTAGAATGTTCAATAATCATTAAGTTATTTTCCTAGAAAATTATTTATAGAAAATCATCGTATTTCGATAGCAGCTGTTCCTATTTGATATTTGTATACTTTGTTTTACATAAAACTAGCTGTAGTTATAATTTATAAATATATATATATTAATCAATAGGGAAAAACATTGTTTTTAATGTTAAATGGAAATTTGAAAAATACGATACAAGAATATCAAGAAAATTCTCTCAATATGAATGTATTTATTTTTTTATTTTTCGAATTTTCATACTGAATACCTATATATTAAAATTAACTCTAAAAGTAATTCCTTTTTACATAATTAGGTTTTTTTTGATAATTTCACTAGGTTCCCCAATTCTGTCGATTAAAATATTGTTATACTATATTTTTAATTTCTAAAATATTATCAGGCCATTTAATCTATTATTGTAACGGGCCACCGGGATTTGCCTCAGTGGCCCGCCAGGCCAGTCCACCTCTGTTAGTAGGTATTATAGTATTTACAAAATATGAATGATTAATAGATTGATAACCTGTAATTAACTTACATAAACATAATGTTACATGAATATTAAATTTTAGGGCGATTGTAAATTCCACCGATTTACAGGTAATCGATGTTAGGGTTAGATTTATAACATAAATTCCACCGATAATAATTTTTTACCTGAAAAAAAAATGTAAATTCCACCGCATAGTTAGTTAAGTATCGTTTCCGCCAAAACGTAAATGTTCGATTTTCGTTTCCGCCAAATCTATTTCTACACAACTGTCTAAATTATAATTTGAAAACCATTTAAAGTTACTCAGAGGCCACCATTGAGAGGTAGTTCTTATTAAACCACCAAAAAATTGTTTGACTTAACTTTCAGATTCATAATTTTGAACTTCAATCGAATTTTATAATTAAATTTGTATATATATATATATAAAGTCAAATATTTCTTATAATACTATTAATTATTTATTATTTCAAATAATTATTGCATACTTTTTTTTAAATACGTAATTCTTAAATTTTTTTTATTTTTATATTCTTCTATTTCGTTTGTTGTATTTATTAATCGTTTTTTTATATTACATCGTACAGAAAAAATTATAAAATATATATATACATATATACATATATATATATATTTTTTAATATATTCAATAAATACGTATATCATTCAGTGAATAATATTCATGATTCGTTCTGCTATGTTCTGACATATTCGATCACAGAACTCCAATCCCGATAATACAAGCACTAACTGTGCATGATATAGGTCATAACATATAATATTATAATATAGGTTAAATAATAGGCTAATATATATACTTTAATTTATATTTGTTTATAATGCGTGGAAATTATTGTACGTAAAATCAATTATCTCTTATATATCTTCAATATAAAATTATGGCTTATCCTGAAATTCTTATAATATATATATATATCGATAACCATTAGAACTGCAGATAAACAAGGGGTTCTCAAACGCTATCACAATAATATAAGTAGAAATATATTTGGCGGAAACGAAATCAAGTTTTCTGACGGAAACGATGACCACCCGAAAAAAAAAAACTTACCGGTGGAATTTACATTTCTTTTCAGGTAAAATAAAAACGTAACTGTGGAATTTACATGAAAAAAGGTCTAAAAAGGTAGCAATCGATGGAATTTACATGCACCCAAATTGTACACTATAAATAAGTATGTAGATCTACGAGACTACTATTTCTTTAAGTCATAGACTTATACGTTTATAAAAAAAAGTTATTCGTAGAAATTTTAATTTACCATCTGGCGAATAAATCAATACACCTATTTTATAAAAAGTAAGTATTTTATTTATCAGAAACTATGTTGTTATCTTTTAAATCTGTATCAATTTGAGGTACAGCAATGGATTCAATTGGTTGCAATTCCTCAATTTTTTTTTTCATATTGATGATTTCTTCTTGAAGTTCAATTATCTGTAGCATCACGGTATCGTTTTCATTTTGTAACTCTTCCAATTCTTCCCTTTCACTAACGATTTCAGTCATATTCGTGCGCATAAATCTAATACAAAATAAAAATATTAATTCGGATTTTTCAGCTCTAGAGACCTTTTTATTTGTGCTAATTAATTTTTTTCTTACGTATAACCCCCCCCCCCCTCGAATTTTTTTTTACTACGCCACTGGTAGCAACGTAGCTAAGAACAAAACGTAGCGTACACTATTCTGTGTAGCCATTTACGTCTTCGAGATAGAAAACTATTTTTTATTCGCATAGCGAAAATCGCGAACATAACACGCGTAGCGTTCTGTGTGGCCTCAGCATAAAACATAGCAGAGTGATATCCTCTTCAGATCTAATTTGCTCAAATACGTTAGTATACAAATACGTTTTATAGTACGGATAATTTAAATATAATATTTTATTTTGCATATTTTTGTTTTTTTTTGGGGATTTTTGCATTTTTTTTTTTTTATTTAATGACGCATATTCAGCGGTTTTTAACGATTGATGGTTAATATTATTGTTCAAAATTAATTAATTAAAATGATGAACGATTAATTAAAAAAATTTGTTTTGAGTGTAGTAATACTTTATGTGTAATAATATGTATATATGTTATGGATAGTGTCCGGAGGTTGGCTAATATTAAGATTAGCTGGCTAATCTTAAGTTTAGACAATGCTTTTGGCTAATGTCAAAATTTCAAACTTCAGCCAACAAAAACAAATGGATAATCTTAACACTAGCCAATTAAACCAACATTATCCAACCGTTATTGGCTAATGACTAAATAACATTAACCACTGATAAATTAAAAATTAAAAACTATTTACAATGATAATACAATGTTTTGAAATTGTAATTTTTAATGAATTTATATGTTGGGTAGTTGTATAAAGGTGAGCCGTGTACGTGGTAAGTAAAATATTTTCAATAATATAAATATTGTACATAGTTGTGTGCATTTTTATATTATTTTAAAATTGATATTGATTGCAAAATTGATATACATGCGGTTGCAATATACAATATTGTGTGCTCGATAGAGACAGTCCGTAATATTCTACCGTAATTACCGACTCAAGTTTGTAAGTAGTTAAGATACCAGCTTGTAGTAATTTGTAGGTATATCTTATTTTCAAGCCTGGGAGTTAATAAGTTAAATTAACTTATTAACTTAAATTATTTTATTACTAATAAATTAACTTAACTTAATAACTTAACGTATTTCCTTACAAATTAACTTGAAATTAACGTATTATTTTTTCGTCTAACCCAATTAAGTTACTTTTGATTTTCAAGACCAGAAAAATATTTTTATAAAATATCGCATTCAATAATAAGTTCATGGAATTTAAAAAAATATAAAAATAAAAATGTTGAAAAATGTTTTGATGAGACCATAATATATATCTCGGTATTAACTATTGATAGGGGTTCCACCATTCTCGGGAAGAGTATTCAACCGTCTTCAGACTATTGAGTAAAAATAATCATGCCATCCATGAATTACGTTACCATTTTCATTAAAAGTGGCCGTAAATCTATATAATAAAAATAGGTACATATTATCATTGACTAAATAATTCTTAATAATATTTCTACTTTATAATTATTAATATTATTCCATAATCTATGATATTAAATAAAATTGATATTAAATATTATTGAATGAGAGAAGAAATGAAAGAATTTTTGTATGACTTAAATCGTTTAATTATTTGTACGGATAATGTTATTTAGACATTAGCCTTATGCATCTGGATAATGTTAAATATTGGTGGATAAAGTCCGAAATTTAGATATTAGCCAAACACAGTGGTTAAACTTATGATTAGCCTGCTAAACTTGAGTTTAGCCATACTCCTAACACTAGCCGTAACATATATATATTATCTGTCTCAAAAATGTTGCACATAAACGTGATTTATAAATATTCAACAATTCGAAAACCATGTAATTAACTTAGATGATTAATTGAAAAATGTCTAATATGCGTTCTTATTTACAGGTTACATTCGTATCGCTCGACAAATGATGAAAATAATCTAACTTATTGTGTGACCGATAAACTGCACCGGTACACCGCAATTGTTAGTTCGTTGTTTGTCGTCGTTACTTCTAGTTCAATTTATAGTGATTCACATTGTGCACCTGTGAGTGTTTTTATTTTTACGAAATTTGATAGGTATAATAATGCCAAAGGAAAAAAACAATATGTGGTCGTTAAAAAAGTTATGTAACAGAATTTGGTTCTGATACTTTTTCCATAGTTTTAAATAATTTATTTTGTTAAGAATGTGAAATTTGAATAAATTCAAAGAAAAAATGCAATAAAACTATTGAGAGTATTAAAACTCTTAGATAGGTGAAAAATAAATTTGGGTCTCTATTGATGAAACACGTGATGTCGAAGGACATTTCATAGTAAGCATCGTTGTAGGAGTTCTTAAGTACTAGCAATATATTATTACTATATTGGGAACAACTGGATAAAACTAATCATACAACAATTTGCAAACTATTTGATAAGACAATGGGAATTATATGGTCTGAAAGTATCATTTATGACTACAATGTTTTGTTATTCTTAACAGATGCCACACATAGTAAAAGTTGTATCTGTTTTAAAAAGTTTTTATACAAAAATGGTTCATGTTACATATATTGCTCACAGAATTCATTATGTAGCCGAGAAAATCTGAGGACAATTTAATTAGGTAGATAACATAACATCAAATGTAAAAAAAGTTTTTAGAAAAGCCCCTTCTAGAATTCTATTATTTAAAACCGAAGCACCTGGAACGATAATAATTTAGACCTTGAAAATTCCTTGAAAACTATAATATTGCTCAGTAAATATGATCCTATTATTTGTAAATACTTATCTATCTATACTACCATCAATAAAAATGAAAAAACCAGAAAAGAAATAGGAAAGGCTAAAACACTGTCAACAACACAAATTTGAATCACAGTCGAAATAAGCGACTTCAAACCATTGAAGAAACAAGATGGCCATCGAAACAGACTGCTATTGAGAAAATTTTTGAAAAATTTGGAGATCCAAAATGTTCCATGTATATAGACTTGATAATTATTTTCACTTAAGTTATTCTAGGGGAAAATTTAAGCCCGATATAAAAGCAAAAGCAAACAATTATTTAAATTTACTATTAAAGTATGAGACTAATTAAACGGCACACATATTTATGAATATTTTTAATATAACGGGTCCACTATCTAGATATCTACAAACTTGTAGATTAGCCCTTCTAAAAATGTCAACAAATGGTAAAATGTAGTTTAATCAATCTAAGTTTATTGATACCAAAAAATATTACACACTCTTATATAATAAACAATTCGTTAACTACAATATCACACACGCACACAATACGTATAATAGTAGTATAATATGTACCAATATTAATAGAAATTAAAACTAGAAAAATCTTAAACTTTAAAAAATCGTTGTACTTGTTATTAAAAATTATATAAAATACTTTTATATATAATTTCCCTTATTGATATGATATAAAATATATTAATACTTATGTACATATAACCAGTGAAATACAAGCTATAATATTTAAAAATTATAACAATATAGTTTTAGAATCTATCAACCTTTTTATTTTTAAAAGTATTAATATTAAAAAATCTATAACATTAAGTTAAATTAATTCAATGAATATATAGAAATATATATAACATAATAATAATACAAATAAAAAGCCGTCAATATTAATTAAATTCATACTAATTATGTTCATATTTTACGGTGAGCTTTCTGTAAAGCAAATAAATCTCATGTAGGTATTTATGAACGCACAAGTATAAAGCGATAGTGGTTAAATTTTGTATTTGTGTTAACATAATATCTAATTCGCAATAATTGTTTACGAATTATAATTTATACATTAATTATTAATTTGTTTAATTGCTTATTAATTGTTTTGTAAATTTATAATTTACTATTATAAATTTTAAGTTACGTTAATGTAAAATCATTATAGATACTCGAGTGGATCAGCCGGTTTTTCGGGCATTTCGTATAACAGTTTTAATACAGTAGTAAGACTTTCAACAACGCCAGTGTGTTCTAAATATTCTTCAAACTCTTCGGCTAAATTATCTAATGAATGAATACATGACTTGGGCTAAATTTTGTACAATGAAAAAAACAAAGAGTTAATTGATTTATAATCACTATATTTCTACCAATAATGTCAAAAGAAATAAGATTTAGCACACATATTATTTTTTCGAACAATTTAATAAATGTTCGATCCATAGGCATGCACACGATAGATGCCAGTTGTGCCCGGGCACCTCCCGAAACGTTGTAAATGGTACCATACAATTTAAATCTAAAAGTAGGAGGCCCATACTTAAACTGATGTTGCTCAAATTAAATGTAATTTATTCAAAAATGGTATAAGTATTATACTTTGTTTTCGACAATATTCTTTTTTAAATTTAAAGTATAGGTTGGAGAGAACTAAGTGAGAAATTTCAAAAGAAAAAAATCATTAGTGTTTTTAAAATATGAGATTCGGAAATGTCTTAGATCTTAGAAATATAATTTTATGACCCTGAAACTTTTTCAGCTTTCGGAGCTCTGAAGTGTGACCTCTGCAATTCCCTGTATGTTGCGGTGCGCATCAATATCCGAAAATCTGTTGTTATAGTTATTTATTATAAAAGTGTAGTAATCACATTTTTATAGGGATAAGGTTATGTATCTATTTTGAGTCATAATTATTATTATTATTTTTTATAAACTCCATTGATTACCTTACCTTAGATTCCATGTTGAATCGCGACAAAATTATATTCGAATAGAACGCAGAAACTTTAATTTAATTGAAACGTGTGTTTTACGGAAGATTGAAATCAATGTAAGATATTTGAATATCAAATGTGCATAAATATTTGTTTAAATAAATACATTTAATGGTTTCCGTGGTGGTTATACATTGTTTTGAAAGTAATCAAATCAATAATGTAGGTGTTCATAAAACAAATTGATATATCGGTGAAACAAAAACAATAGGTACCTACTAAATGTGATACAACTTTTATGGAAGTGAAGATAAGTTAAACGAGTATTTCGTGTGTGACCCGAGGGTAAAATGTACTATATACTATATACTATGTACTATACACTCGTATACATGAAAATTTTGTATTTATATGTGAATTTTGGATCAGTATGATCATACAGTTGGCTACGATGCGTGTCAGTTTGAACCCGGCTTAGTGCAAGAAAACATTCTGCCGAATTAATTCTGTAGTCTCTCTCCCCTGCTATCTTTCTGATTGTTCTACACTGGTGCTCCCCACAGGACCAACTCCGCTGGGAGTAGTGAAGTCCAAACATGTGATAATTATCTACTTAGAAATGGAGGCAGTACAAGCGATACTCTCAAATGAAAAAGATTTTGACAAAAATTTCTGACGGTTGTTTCGATGGGAAATTTGAAAGAAAAAAAAACTGTGTGAACTTTCTTCCGTATTCGTTTATCGATTTCGACCCTATTTGTACACACACACATCAACAGTGTACCATATTACAATGATCTTCAATCGATTGGTCGCAACCCATATGTAAGTTAATTAAGCTTAAAGATTGGGTCGCGATAAGTCTTCAGTTAAAAATTTAAAATATTCATATTCATCTATCTATTATCTATATATATATATATAAATGGATTTATGTCTGTTCTTTATGTTTTCCTAAACGGCCTGACCGATTGTGACGAAATTTGGTACAGAGATATATTCGACCTATGGGCAGAAGATAGGATAAGTTAAAAAGTGATGGGCCCAACCCCGGGATGAGCTCAGACATTTTAAGATTTACGATGGAAATGTTAGTTTATAGATGGTTGCTATTGATTTCAATAATAATAATAATAATTAATGCGAAAGAAATTATTATCCCTGAGTGTGTTATTATTATTTTTTATTATTTTTATTTTAAATGCACTTTGATAAACATAATTCAAGTGAATAGTTTAATTGTCAGACTTTTTTCGATAACACGAATAAAATTACTTAATGATAAACTAAATTGAATATCGTTGCAAGATTATTACGTAATATATTTTAACAGTTTTCTATCTACGTGTATAAAAGTATACTAGCATAATAACAGGTAATTTAATTTAACACACAGTTTGAAACATTTAGGAGGTAGGATTTTTAACGGGCTACGAAGTGCACGGGTTCAGCTAGTATATTATAATTATATAATATTATATTAAGTACGTCATATGGCATCGGTATAGCCCGACTTCATCGATAAAACTCTTTTATCAATGTATAAATTACACAGTGCAAAGCTGATCCCACGCGACTCGTGTGCTTGACGAGCATCGCGATGGCGTATGTTCGCTGAGTATTTTGACTTGACGATTTGGTCGCTCCTACACTACCTACTCGTACACTTGCCGACAGTGGCGTAGTTACGGGGAGGGTGTAAGGGGTTTCCACCCTCCCCACACAAATTTTTTTTATTGATATTTGATTATTATTTATTAATATTTACATATTATAGTAAAATATTTTGATTTTACTATGATTAGGTATATATTAAAAATTGAGTAACAAAATAATTTTGATTAAATACGGGACATAATAATAATACCATTTTAAATGTAATATTATTACATATGACCTCGTTTTAAGATATACTAAGAACACTTAAAAACTTACTCTTAAACAACCCCCCCCCCCCAGAAAAAAATTGTATCTACGCCACTGCTTGCCGATCAATAAATGCGATTATTTCTTTGACTCGTGTCACATTCACCGACGACCAATGAGAATCCACGAGTGACTTGACGAGTAAAAATGATCGTCATACTTGACGATTAAACATGACTCGTAAAGCATCACGATAGACGATTATTATCGCCTTAAAAATTTAACCGAGATAGAATATTTTGTGTGAAAACAGTCAAATATCGCTCAATTTTTTTTATGTAGTATTAGGTAGATACTTACCTACATATACTATTTTTCTGTTACATTACATGCATTTTTGATGTGACGGTCCAAAGTCGAATGCCACGAACACCCTCTTCGTCATTGCAGTGCGACAGCGGCGGCGCTTATCAGTAGAACCGGCTTTAGCTCTTTCAGCACTCGGTGCAAAATTATTTTGAAAATTTTCCATCTCAAACGACTTAAACAGGCAGAATTTTGGGAGCTAGAGGGGACTCATACATATTATAACCTAAGTCTTATTCATAATCAAAAATGCTCAAAATAATTTTTCAAACGTGCATATTTCCCACATATTTGTAAATAATTTATAGAACAAACTTAAGAATATTGTGATAGTCTATAAAACTGTAATTGTACCTAAAAGCACGGCTAATCCTTAATAATTAATATCCTCAATTACAATTATGATCCTTAATAAATAATGATAATTATAATAATCAAATTTATATTGAATCGCACCGTGAATTTTTTTTTTCTATTTAAAATAGATAATTTGCGTCACATTGATTGATCAAATTTAATTCTAATTTTGACACCCTTCTGATTTTGACACCCTGTGCCCTGTGCTCTTCGCACGCGTCGATCGTATCTATAGCCAGCCCTGCTTATCAGTAAATGAAGCCCAACATAATTGTGGTGTGTGTTATCGTATTTATGTACCGTTATCATAATACGACATACCATGTGTTATTTTCAATCAGTATAACGTTCTTCGTTTGTCTACATAGTAAATACTAACTTCCTTTTCGATATTATTACTGTGCTTATAGATTTTAAATCTGTTCAGCCCTATTAAATATGAAAACGACATCTTAAAATGCCCGATCGACCAATATATTTTTTTACAATTTTCTACTAATATTGGGTGGTCCACAGTACCAGTGGCATACCAAAAAATAAACTTTGTGGGGGGGGTTTAAACATTTTCAATTCTGTCCTAAGTAAGTAACAACTCATTAATTTTATTAAGTTGATTAAACATCACCTTTCCATTGGCTATGCTACTGTCTACATTAATATGTACAATTAATGTATTTGTTTGATGTAATAGCAAATGCATAAAAAATATATAAGAGATTAAAATGAGTATCAATTTCAATGTTGGAACATCATCTCAGCACGTAAACGCAAAATGTGTCAGCATACCTCTCCCATAATAACCTAACTTGAAAATAATTTCTAAAAATTTAAACCTATTATTCATTGCCTTTACTCCATAGAGTAATTATAGAGAAGCTGTTACATGAAATTGTTAAAGCGCACTTAAATTCTCTTTTACTAAAATTACCACTTTATAGATATTATTTTTTGTTAGTTTTCACTGATTATACACTATTTTATTTAAATAAAATTATTATAAAAGAATACATAATATTAAATTATATATACAAGTACACAATACACAAATTTTATCTAAGTACAATCTTTATTAAAGGAATTTATTTTAATTTTACAAATTTAAAAAAACAAATAAATATATACACATAAAGTAATTTTTAGTCTATTTAAAGGACAACCTAAAATTTACTTTGTTCCTTTCTAACTTAATATAGGGGTACTAGTCTAAGTAATATATATATATTGTATATGTTGTTCTAGTCTCTAATATCCAAATTTCTTAAATATAATTTTCATAATGTTGTAATCTCGATTATAAAATTAAGAACAATTGATTTACTTTGAGTATACTTATAATATTAAATAGGTATATTAATTATTTAATAATAATTATAAAATATAAACTTTGTCTGTCTTATAAATGTACAACAAATTTGCGTTCGTCAGAACCAATTTTGTGTTGTAAGCTTTAAAATATTAGAGTAAATTGACCAATTATCAAACATACAGGGACGAACATCATCTGGTATAGATTTTTTATAATATTTAATTTTTATTTCTGATTATATAAAATATTACAATTTAAAAGAACTAATAACTCGTTTATAAATAAAATATTTTACAAAACCTCTTATATTAAAGCTAACAACACAAAATTAATTCTACTAAACACAGTTTTGTTATGTTGTACGTTTGTAGATGGATACAACACAAATGTGTATGGCAACCTTTTAAGGTTATTAACAGCACTCTTAAGAGTTTTTGGTAGAAAATTAACTATAAAAATGCACGTTTAGCATAGAATACCAACTACATAAAATAATATTACTCTGTTTCATAGCAATTAATACCAAGTGTTCACCGAAGAATTCAAAAAGTAAATAAATTATCAATTTAATTTTATATTTATATTTTATAATATTTTTTTTGACTTCTTACATTACTTACCATACTAGTGCCTTCAGGGGCAGAACTAAGGATTGGAATACGAGGATACATCCCCAGGGGTAAAATTTTAGAGAGTATAATTTTTGTAATTATTAACTACTAATTTGATATTAGTAACTTTGTTAAATGCTGATATTAGATTCAAACTCAATAAGTGTGATTATGAAAATAAATAATAATAATAATAATAATAATAAATTAGAAAAAAATTATAGGGCGTAATTTTAACATTTTCCCTGGATGTAAAAATTCCTAGTTCCACCTCTGACTGCCATACTTACAAACACTTTTGTTAGATAATTTAAAATTTTTAAATGTAATATTATAGAAACATATATAATCTTTCTTAGACATCCGTATTTTTATTGCTGTGATCCATATTACCTTTAAAATAAATTAATGCAATAATATTATAACAGTATTAATTATTTATTTATATTTCATATTAAACATGCATTATGAAATCCAAATTGAAAACCTAAATTTTTTTTTCAATACAGGTGCAAAGTTGTTTGCATTTCCAATTTATTGTAATCTAAGCAGTGTATGTTTATTGAACCATTGTCTTATGGATAGTGTATCATTATATTTTTTTAATATCTATTTAGATTTTTAATTTATATAGTTAGTTATTATTTTAATTAAAAGAGTATAATGATCTGCTAATGGACTATGTGTTTCTTAACTATGATTTTTTAAGGAAATAAATTTGAACTGTGCAAGTAGTGTGCTAAAACTTGTCTGAATTTCTGATCTATTAATTGCTTTTTGCTTATAATTATACATTTTAAAAAAAATGTCTGTTCTAAAACAAATAGAAATCACATCTTCACTTGAGTACATTAATCCTCCTTTATCTCCTCCTCTGTTCTTTAAAGGTATTAAAGAGTTTAAAAACTATATTTTTCTAGAACCACCAATGCCAGTTTACATGTTTCACATTTAAGTTAATTAGTAAGTGAACCACAAATCCTGCTATATAAATAATATGTCTTGTAGAGTGGCTTAACGATTGTTAAGTATGGTTACCAATGTAATCATGGTCCATTATAAATTAATTTATATTTTCTGCATTGTCTTCATCAATAATTATATTTTGACATACACCTATAGAATTATTATTTAATACTTTGGTAGGGTCTGTACTGAAATAATATAAAATATCAATATCCTTAAGTATATACAATTTCCATGAAACTTTGCGCATTATTTACACTTATCAGTAATTTCCTATAGGCTGCACACAACTTTTGGACTATTGGTTTATTATAGTAACCACCTTGTGCTCTCATAGTGACAAAAAACAATTCTATAAAATTATTATATATAATAGTATAATACTATTCAATCCTTCAACAAATCCAATAAATCTCGTCTTCCTTTTTGAATTCAATATAAGTACAAATCCTTCCATTTCTTTCACCTTAAGTCCCATAATATAATTTGTGAATTTTTCTATAAATTTAAAAATATAATTTATATTCTCTTTACACAATGCTTTTTATACACAATATAATTAATTAAGCATGAATTTAATATATCAAATGCAATATTGAACATTTCAATCAATTTAACTGAGGCACCCGAATTAGAAAACTCACTCATATTTAAATTATATTTGCAGATTGTTAAAGTATCTATCAAAGACTAGCTGAGTAATTATGATGCGAGTTTCACTTTCACTTTTTGTTTAAAGTAAAAAAATATGCTGTTTCCTCAATTTATTGGTTAAATGGTAATTCTCTTAGTTACTCTCTCTAGTTAGATTGGTTCCACATTTGTTAAATGTAAGACTAATTATTGTTACCCTAGTTAATTGTAAAAGATTCAAAGCATGTTTAATTAGTTCAGATTTTTGAGAACTACTAATATGACTAACTAAAAAATAATCAATATCAATCTTCCAATTTTAATTTATTGAAACTACCATAAAGACCAAACATTCTTTAGCTATATCAAGACTATGTCTATCATTAGTCATTACATTGCCTAAATCTACATAACCATAGTATGTTGCAGTAGCACTATCAAATTGAAGATATTGGCAAATGGCCATCTCATCCATCATCAAAGCACAATAAAGCTGATTAGGCGAATTTTTCACTTTTAATGTTAATGATTTAAGGGCCTCTTCTATAAAACCTGGATTGGCATCGGTGTTAGAATACCACTTACTAAGAGTATGTTGGTATGGCAAAATTATAATACATTGTTGTCGAACATACTCATATGCTTTAACTGAAAAAAAATGCAATGATAAAGCAAATTGCCTTACAGTTAAACTATATTTTTTTTGGAGTTTTTTACCTACATTTTTTTTTGGACCAATTGGTTATTAAATTTTGGAGCTTACCAAAAGATTCCAACAATGTGAAAGATCCATCATTTTCATTTATCGGGTTTTTGTTTTGCAGTTTCATAATGATATTTTTCATTGTTGCAATTTCCTTCTGTTGCTTTCTAACTATTTTTTGAATGGATTTGATTTTTTGATTTTTAATCGCAAGGTTATTATTAAGGTTCCGAATACTATGTTTTAAAAACTGTTGGCGAAGCATATAATTTTGGATTTCACTAGCAGCCATAGGTGATGGTCCAATCATTTTCTAAAAACAAATAAATTAAAAGAGTAATACTTACACAAAGCATTTTAATACTGAATATATTGGAAATACTAGTTACATTCATGCAAGGAGAGGACAGTGAATCAACTGACATCAATGACACATCATTCTCGTGGTTAATTTCAAAATTAACTTTACTAGTTGATTCCTATAATAAAAAAATAATGTTTAAAATAATGTGTCAAATAATTTTAAAATGTAGTAATTATATACTTCAGCATATTTATTTTCGTTGTTTTGTGTATCATAACTGCTAACTGATTTCAAAGAAATATCCACATTTTCTTCTGCTTTTATTTCAATAGTATCATTAACAGAAGTTGACTATTGCAATAAAATGATAAAAGTTATAATTTTTGATTAATAAAGAAAGCAAATATTCAGTGAAATAGTTTAAAAAAAGGTATTAACCTTGACTTTAGTTTTTTCTGCAATAAGACCACTTGTACAAGGTTTGGTAATGACATTTGGCTGGGAACGTTTTATAAATTCAGCAAAATCTGTTTTAGACTGAACAACCATATTATAGTATAAGAACTTTAAATAATTTGTCATATGGTATTAACAAATATAAAATTTTAATATTAGAACTTACATTTTTTACTCTATAAACGGAAAACATTGGAACAGCATCTTTCTTTATTATATTTATGTTTTTATCTTGATCAAAAATAAAACAATCAGAAGCAAAATGAACAGAACATAATGAACTATTTTTGGTTATATTATTAATGTTAAAGCCATTTTCATTAACAAAATCAAACCATTTTGCTCGAATTATTTGATTAGTCGGAAACCTAAAATAAATATAAATAGGAATGTATTATAATTAATACAGCTGCATATAGGCCAATAAAAGTGAAATACTGGTTACACCTTATAGGTGTACCATACTTACTTATGAAAAGAAATGTTAGCAATTTTGGACTTCTCGTTCCTTGATCTGCTACAACAAAAACAGCTAGGCATATTTATTGGCTTATAATAAAGATCAAAGAACCCGAATAGAAATATAAGAATTAGTAATTAAAAACGACTAACGAGTGGTGCATATGCTTAACAAATAGCATTTCCGTGGTACGGCCGTGATATGAAATAATTTCAATTTAAAATGAGTATATATGTATGTGCCTCGCTGAGCCTGCTGTTAATATCAATATCAATATAATTTATAACAAATACTAATTATTTTATTCGTAGGTATAATTCATATGCTACAAATTTTTTTTTAATATTTTTAAATACGATTAATACCTAACCTAAAATATTTATAATTAATTTGTCGACGTATTGATCCGTCTACATTGCAATTTGTCAACGTACTGACCTGTCGACATTTTGCACTTGTCGGTATAATGACCCATCGACATTTTGTACCTGTCGATGTTTGGACCGTCGACATTTTAAACAGCCGGTACCCTGATCGACGTCTCGTACCAGCTCCTGTATCCCGGATAGACGTACAGTTGGACACCCTTTTACAGGTTGAGCGCGTGTTGTATAAAAAAAATAAAAAAAATACGTCTAAAAATGCAGTTTTGACATTGTTCTCATTATCAGTATTTTTGATACTCGTGATAAGCAGTCAAAACATGACCATTACTGAATACTCTGCTTGTAACTTTGTGGTTTTCGTAGGGTCTGGTACGAAACGTCGATAATCAAAATATCAGAGTTAAAATTTGGAATGCTGACAATGAGAGTAAGATGTCAAAACTGCATTTTTTTTTTTTTTTTTTCGTAACACGCGGTAAACCTGTAAAAGGGAGTCCAACCGTGCGTCTATCCGGGATACAGGAGCTATAGGAAACGACCTCTCAATATTACTCTATGCCTCACTCGTTCGTTTATCATAGCGAGTGACGACAGGTTTTTGTTTACTGTTACTTTGTGAAAAGCAAAACATTTATTTATTTACATTTTTTTAACTCAAAATTTCAAGTTTCAAAATCACGCGGAGAATATTTACACAGTTCGTTCGCCAGATCATTTATCCACCAAACAAAATAGAACAGACTGAAGTTGCAACAAAGGTAAGAAAAATTACGAACAGCTAGTAATAATTTATATAATGTAATAATTAATTAGTAGATGTATGACTTTAATAATAGGTTGAATGAGTGAAGGTGAGCCTTTGAATGAAAAGGATTGAGAATTAGTAGATAATAATTTAGAAAGAGTACATAGAGTATGACTTTGGAGGAAGATACCAAGAAGTTGAGAGGATGAGGAAACCAATGACAATAAGTGATAATGTGATAGATGATGTTGAGAACTTTAAATATTTAGGCTTAATTGTACAAAAGGACGGCTTTGGCATGGATGATAAAAGGATTATGTACAATTGAATAAAATAAAGAGAATCATTGGGCTTTTTAAGTGATAAGAAAATTCCAAAAAGGCTGAAAGGTAAATTTTACAGGATTTATAGTAAGACCAACTATGCTATAAGTTTTGGAGTATTGTGCGGTTGACAGGAAAATAGAACAGAGTATGAGTGTTGCAGAAATGAGAATGCGGTTGAGAATAATATGAGGGTGGTTGGTGTGTTTGCATAGGGGGTGTAGAAAATTGAGGCAAGTGGAGGTTTAGGACAAAAGTGACCATCCCCAAATATTTAGGAAAAGAAGAAGCAGATGTTTGACTTCTATTTATCTTGTTTTTATAACACTTCTGGTGTAACTAGCTTCTAATACGGAAAGCATGCAATTCAAATTATTTGATGTATTATGGGATTCTTGACCTAATCATTATTAAACAGTCTCCATAATTTACCTATTGCAATTGCCTTTATCATATTTGTTTTTATTAATAATTGCTTATTTAATGTTTATTTTATATTTATTGATTCAAATATTGTGTTTATTTTTAATGTAAAAAATTATTTACAAATCATTAATTCGTTTCTATTTTTTGCAGGCTAAATAACTTCATGAAACATTGAAAGCAGATGTACGTATGAAAACTATTTATGTGTTCAGTATTAAATTATCTGATTGGATATACAGTTATTTTAGAATTAATAGTCATCCTTTAACAATTCAAATTATGTTTTATTTATTTATAGTACTGTCTACATTACAGGAATGGCAAATACCTATTGTACACATTAAATCTTTTTACTTTTATATCGATTACTACACTTGAAATTTTAATATATTATTTAACAAAAAATATCTTTTTTTTTTAGTTAATACTCTTTCAATATTAACACAGAATTATTAAACATAAATGTATGTAGCTGAGTATCTTTTTTATTCCTGATAATAATTTTTTTAAATAAAAACTAATATTCAATTTTCAAAAAAAAAAAACTTTATTTTATTATATAAGATTATTAATTTAATTTGATTTGTAATTGTTATTGTAAGTTTTTTCTTATTTTACTTTTATACTTAGCCTATTAACAAGACATAGGACATAATTACATACTTACTAAGTCTAAACATTTTCATTTTAAATAAAGTTAAACATGAAAAATAAAAAATAATCATCTTTAGTTTTTTAAATTAATTTTACCTTTACATTTGATTAATAAATATTAAATTTATTTGTAATTTACTGTTTAAAATTATCAAATTTATAATTTTCATTTCTTTTGGAGTAAAAATATAAAATTGGATGCATATTTTTATAAAGAAAATATTTTTGCATGCCATTTTATTAAAATTGTTACTAATAAAACTTGACAATTATTAATGTTATAATTTAAAATAATTTAGAAATATGTAATAACTGTACTAATTTTAATTTACAATTTTTTCTATAAAACATTTTTAATCATAATACTAATTTGCTTTGTTCTTATGTCAATTATAGGCAAAAAATCAAATTGTTCATACATTTCCTGAACGAATTATTAAGCAAACCAGAGTTTTTATGTTGAAAGTTTTTTTGCTGAAATGGACATTAAATATAATGTAAATGTTCCTTCAATAATGAAAATAGATAACAATGTAAACAAGTAGGTTAACATTTTATTTTAATAAATAATAACTGTATATTAAATATAATAGTGATACTTGTATTAGAAGTTACCAAGAACAAGGACATTTTCCAGTTTAGACATACTTCTATTTTATTCGCAATTAATTTAGGATAAATTAATTTCATTATTATTATTATTAAAGTAATCTGTATCATTTACAAATGTTATGATCTTAATTGTATTAGAATCTTAATTATTATTTTCTTATTTGGTTCAACATAACATTTATATCAAATATTTTTTAATTTATAGTTGTGAAGGGAAAAATCCCGGAAAAAAACAACATTTTTATTCAAATTCTCTTGATTTAACACTAGAAAAAAGGCTCATACCATCCAATAAAAACGTTACTGAAGTTATTAAAAATTCTGAAACCTAATATCAAACAATTAGTTGAAGACACCAATACTGTAATTGTAATATTTTATTATTTTTATAATTTACATCTAGTATAAATGTTCTATTTTCAGTTAAAAATGTGGGTATCGTTATTAATACCAAAAATTGAAGATGGTAACAATGATGTATCTGTACAAGGAGATACCCTAGCGGATATACAACAGATCAAAGATGAAGATACAATTTATCTTGAACAAGTATCTCAATATTATGTTTCTCGTGGAAAACTAATCACAAAGGTTTGTATTTACTATTAAAATGCAAATTTCATTAAAAATAAATATAATAAATGATAATAACTCCTTTGCATTTAATTTAATATTTTAAAAATAAAATATATCCTTTACTTAATTTTGTTTATTAGTGTTTTGGCACACTTAAGAGTATTACAATGTGAAATAAATTGTCTCTATTTTACACATACAGTATGGAAATATTATAAAATTGTTCTTTGTACTTTGTTATTATTTTTAAAACTATTTTAATTAGTATTGAATTTAATGTTATTGTAAATATACGGTAAGTATATTTCTATGTTTTTATATTTATACTAGTGAATTATGTATTTTTTTTTTAATTCATGCACATTTCATAATAAATATTTATGTTAACTTTATTATCATTATAATTGAAGTACATAGAGTGTTTTATATATATTGCCCATACAAATTATAATAGATGACTGATTTCACTTTAATGTCTTGATAATAATCAATCAACTCAAAACAAATCAAAATTAAAATAATTCCTTTATAGCTGTTTATGAATATTACAAAAAATAAAACTTAAATAATAATGTTATTTAATTTATGCTGGTGTAATATAATTTTGCCACTCTAACATGGTTTGAGATTCTAAGATAAATCCATATTTCAATACATTTTCTAACTTGTTTTTTTTTAAAAGAAATTAAATTAACATGTAGATAAATAATAAATTATTAGAAATATAATTGTATTTATCCCAAATATCAAGTTTAATCAAATTAAAAATATGTATAGTATAATATAAAAATAATAACTTATAAAAATTAATGTAATTTATAAATTATAAAAAAAATAATAATTCTTAATACTATAAGTAAAATAAATTTTATTCTGTAAAAGTATTTACTTTTTTTTTTAATTAAAATGTATTTTAAAATGTTTTTTTTTTTTTGTATATATATTTTGAATACATACTTGGTAAATTTTTAGTGCATAAATGTATAAGATCATTTCAATCATTTTAAGTGCATAAACATCTAAACTCTAATTATTAAATATATTTGTTCCATTGAGTTTTATAGATAGTTTCAAGATTTAAATAGAAAAATTTGATTTTAACCTAGTAAAAAAATAAATCATATTTTATTATTCTTATATTAACTATATTCTAATATTAACCCAAGCTCCCTTAATAGTTGTTAATCATATTTTTATATTATAATCATAATTAATACGTTTTTTTAAATTTTCAGGTTATGAAATATCCATTTATAAATGATTATTGCTGAGCTGTAAAAGACCTTGATGAAAAACATTATTTATCTATGTTCCTTACTGTGCATGAAATCCATAATTGTTATTCTACATTACATCATATTGTCATCGAAAATATTAACAAAACAAAAAAGCCTTGATCTTCAAACAATGACAGCTTGTACTAAGAACATTACAATTATATACAACTTTTAAATTCATATTTTTACCCTTATCATCATCTAATTTTTTAAGTTACTGACAAAATAAAAATTATATGATAAAAGTAAAAATAAACTCAAGAA